GGCTTTCTTTAAGGGGGTGTACAAACAGCCAATACCGTTGGTTATGGCAGATTATCCCAGTGCGACATCACAGCTGACTGAAATACCTCTGACACCAGACGAAGTCCTTCACGAGTTAGCTACCCTGAATAAGTTCAAGGAAGCGGGACCGGATGGTATCCATCCCACTATTAAACCTCTAGCGGAGGTGCTTCAAGGGCCTCCGTCAAAGTTGTTTCAGGCATCTCTAGATATAGGCGAGATACCGGGAGATTGGAAAAGAGCGACGGTAGTTGCTTTGNCATAAATCTGGGTCGAAGAAAAAGGCCGAAAACTACAGACCAGTAAGTCTGACGTCGGTCCTATGCAAATGCCTAGAAAGGATTGTACGCAAGCGTATGGCTGCGTGCCTCGAAGGGCATGAGCTATTAACGCCAGCTCAACATGGTTTTTTAAGCGGAAGTCTTGTCTATCATATCTGCTTGCCTTCCTCGATGAGATCACATGACGCTTAGACGAGGGACAGCATGTCGAAGTCGGTTACCTAGACTTTAGCAAAGCCTTTGACTCGGTAAGTCATCTGGGTTTATACCATAAAATGCAACTATTGGGAATAGAAGGGAAAGTTAGAAAGTGAGCATACTGCTTTATAGCTAACCGCACCTTCCAGGTCAAGGTCGGTACGCAATTATCGATGCCGGCCAACATGACTAGCGGTGTCCCTCAGGGTTCTGTGCTAGGCCCACTGTTATTCTTGATGTTCGTCAACGAACTACCACGGGAAATCAACAACCCGTGCTTTATGTCCGCGGACGACTTCAAAGTAGCGGGAACGAACGTATGTCAGAACCGGCAGGCTGGTGGTCCGAAAAGTGGGATCTTCCGCTCAACCTAGCCAAATGTCAGCTTCTAACAGCAGAAGCTGAACTTGACATACAGTATGAAATCCAACTTATGAGAGAGAGAAGTTAAGGACCGGAGAGTACTTATACCCCACGACTTCAAACCCTCTCAACAATGTCTGAGGGCAGCCAGCATAGCTCGAAGGGAACTCTTTCGTGTACACTCCACGATTACGTGTAGGAGACCCGAGGTTCTCGTCCCTCTATACAAAGCCTCACCTGGCCTCACCTGGAATATTGTGTTCAGGCATGGGCACCCTACTTTCGGAAAGACATTGAATCTCTAGAAAGGGTGCAACGTCTGGCTATAAGAATGATGGTGGGACAAAGAAGTAAGAGCTACGAGCAGAGACTCAAGGACCTTAACCTAATCTCTCTGGCAAGAAGAAGAGTAAAGGGGATCTCATAGAAGTCTTCAAGATCATGAACGGTCTCTCCGGACTTAAGTTCGAGGATATGTTCCAGTTCATCCCCTCAAGTGGCACTAGGGGACATAGTTTAAGGCTACAACGTAGCCTTGTAAGGTTGGACATTCGAGCCAAGTTCTTCACAAGTCGCGTAATACCTTACTGGAATAGTCTACCAGAAAATGTGGTAAGTTGCTCGAACGTCATTGCCTTCAAGAGGGCATTAGATGCTTGTTGGGCTTCTACCTTCCTTGAAGCAGTTTGATGGACGTGATACTACACCTTACTTTCTGCCTTTCAGGAAAAAACCTATTGACTCGCAATGTTGGAAGCCACAAGAACAGCCGAAAACACATCAATATGGACGCAAGATTGGCCCGGGCTACACATCGTCCTGTGCAAATTGAACTGAACTGAATTGAACGGCTTCAACTTCAGTCCCACGGCCTTGAGCTTTTCAAAAACTGCCCGTAAATTTCTCAGGTGCTCCTCGAAGGTTCTGCTGTACACAATAATATCGTCCAGATAGAATAAGCACTCCCCCGAGATCAGGCCGGATAGTACCGTTTGCATCAGGCGCTGGAACGTCGCTGGGGAGTTAGTTAGACCGAACGGCATGGTATGAAACTCGTATAATCCGGAGGGAACCACAAACGCAGTTTTCTCCTTATCGTCTGGGTGGACTTCGACTTGCCAATAACGTGATGCTAGGTCTAAGGTGGAGAAGAACCGGGCATTAGCTAGTGACTCTAGGGTCTCGTCGATTCGGGGTAGTGGAAACGAATCTCGTTTTGTCAGGCTATATAGTTCGCGGTAGTCCACACACAGTCGTAGAGTGCCGTCCTTTTTTACTAACACTACCGGTGATGCCCAGGGCGAGGTCGAGGGTCGAATTATATGGTTGTCTAACGTTTCTCGAATCATTCGGCTGAGTTCGGGTTTATGGTGTATGAGTATGCGTCGAGGTGGGCTCCTTTTCGGCTCTGCACCTTGTGTGTCGATTCTATGAGTCACCACGTTGGTACGCCCTAAGTCATTTTTCGACCAAGCGAATGCGTCTACGTTTGCGAGGAGTAACTCCCGTAATTATACATGTTCCCCGTTGGATATTAATCCACTCGTGGCACACGGCCGGTTAAGTTGATCTTCGTCCGGTTTATGGTACCTTTCAACCGCGCACACCAGGAGCTCATTCGGAAGCTTAAGTTTGATTGGGTGGTGATATTGGATGTTCTCCCCTCTAAACCGAAACAAACCGAGGTGTGGGCTCAGCGAGCAGTCGAACCGAGACAGGCAATCCATACCCAATATGGCAGACTACGGTAACTCCCTAACAACTATCGCCTTGTGGGTGAAGACTTGACTGCCGATGGTAACGGTCACTGTCGTTTTTCCTACGGTGGCGATTTCCGTATTGTTCGCCACCCAAACCTTTTCACGACACGGTTTTTGAGTCGGTAGAATGTTTGGCCTCTGTCGTACTAGGGTGCGCTCTGACCCCGTGTCTATTAACACGTCTCCCGGGGTGCCATTAATAAACCCCTCAATCACTGGAACATGATGGTCACGGGCATTTATAGCAGTAACATGAACACAAAATTTTGGGGACTTACTGATGTAACGTCCTTGTGATTGTTCGTCGTTCCCGTTCCTGCCCCTGTCCCGATGCCGGTCATTTGCGTTTCATCCGCCAAATCGTCTGCCATGGTTATGGGGACGTTCGCGTTGCCGGTGCCCTGGGCTTCTCCGTTCGCTTGGGATCGCGGGGGTCGGCGGTTGTTGTGGTTCTCCTTCCTCGTCGCTCGGTCAATCGCTTCCGCCATGATGGTGGCTGGGGTGTCGTCGAATGACTCTACTGCGGCCGGTGACCTTACCCCATCCATGAAACGAAATAGCACGAGTTACTCCCGAGTCTCTGCGTCGAAGTGGGGGTAAGCCTGCGCTGCGAGTTTGTGTAGCTCCGTCGCATATTGCCGGGCGGTCTCCGATGACTTTTGGACACAGTACCGAAAGGCGTTACGGAACTTTCGTAGCGGCCTGGGTGGGTGTACGTCAACCAATTCGCACTTGAGTGACGCGTAGCCGCACCGATACGATTCCCGAAGTAAAAACACAATTGATCCGCAATGTTCTACGGTACTGAATTAACGAAATTATTACAATGTGTACAATAAAGCAAACCTAAAATATGC